AAAAAAATAATCACTAGGTTTACCAAATAATGCTGAATAAAAAAAAACAAAACCAACCATTAATAACATTTTATGAACAAAAAAAAAGAAAATAATCAATAAAATAAAACCTGGTCGACGTATTCCTGAACTACTTGATGATGAATTTCGACGACGACGTGGTTGATGTCGTAATTGAATATCAGTTTGTGGAACAAGAGCAGCATTTGGTACGTTACTATGATGATGATGATGATGATGATGTAAAGGTGTTTTAGAATTTTTATTAAACACTAATGGAATAGAATTTGTTGGTGGTGATGGAGATGATTTTACTGAATTTCCAAGTTGTTGTACTTTACCATCAATCGAACAAGATGATGAATCTGATGATATATCTGAATAAATTTATTTATTTACAAAAAAAAAAAAAAAGGCAATAAAATAAATTAAAACTACAGACGTTGATGAAATGCTATATCTTCTGCATGAATATGAGCAGATATTTGTGTAGTTTGAGCCCATGCTTGAATACGTTTAACAACAAAAGTCCGAACTGTTTCATCATAATGTCTAAAATAAACAAAAATAAATTCTAATGTTTTTTTTTTTTTGAAGAATTGTTACTTACGAAATTACCCAAGTAACTTTTTCAAATGGATGTTTTGTACCATGTGTTTGTAAATCAATAATACAAGATGTAAATTGTCGTAAATCATTTAAACGTTTATCCTATTAAATATTGCAAAAAACAAATTAGAAAAAAAAAAAAAAGAAAAATATTAAATAATTTCTACTTGAAAGCCACAAAATTCTCGACGAATATCGAAATCATCTGAATCTGAACGAATTTGTGTCGTAATAATTGTAGTCTTAACATATCCAAAAAAAAAATAAATATATATAACGAAAACAAAAATTTAAATAAACTAATCTCTTACTTCAGTCATTTTATTTAAATCTATGTAAATAGTCGACGAAATGAAAATAGTTAAAGAAACTTTAGTCGTACATCGATATATATATATATATAAATAAAGAATAAAACAAAGATACATTATACACATTTTCTTCTAAGAGAAAATTACACATCGAATTTATTTGTTAAAAGAACGAAAAGACATTCTCGTCGAATCGAGATTCAACTTGAAATAAAAGGATGTATACTGTACCTAGAAGACATTGGACATATTCGGATCAAAATAAAAATCTCATTAGAAAAAAACCATGTAAACTGTTAATGATGTGCATGGATTGAGACATTCGAAATAATATGTTATACATATTGAAAAAGAAATTTTATGAGATTCGAAACTTTCACACTATTGCCCTCTATATTTGAAACATACTTTTCGTTTATGTAACTTGACGAACTCTATTCAATTGTGACAAAAAGAGACACAACTAAATCTTACACAAATTTGAATTATTAATACATTAAAATCATTGTAGACTCTGTAACATTGAAATATATAAGTCCGTACATATTATCAAACATCTTTACTTTGATTGGAATATATTAAATGTTCGTGTTTTACATATACAATCTTCTATTGTTAGATAAAGGACACTGTCGGATAAGCTCGTAAATTTATCACATCCCTAAAATTCACTTTTAATAGGATAGAAAGAGAGAGCATGAAACTCCACATATTTCTATCTACTTATTTTTTTTGTTTTTAGTTGAATGCAAAAAGAATCTTTTCGATGTCTAATTAGTCTTCAGGATATTTCACTTTTGGGTGTTTTGGTTAATAACTATGGGACCTGTAATTTTTTTCTTTTATAAACTCAATATGAAAAGTAATAGCGTAGATTGAGACAGTTCTTCATACTCTACAAAATGACATAGTGACCATGTTTACCATTATTTTTTTTAGGGTACTGTTGTATTTAAAAAACGAAATCATCTGTTCTAAGATCCATTTTCATCGAGACATTTTAAGAAAATGAAATATTTTGAAAGTACTGTAAAACTGATATCAACCATTGTTATATTAAATCTTAATGTCATTTTCAAATTCATAGTGAATTATTTACCATATTCGAAATTAGCACAAAAAAAGTACATAATATCATACACATTTCAGCAAATATTAAATTCTTAACAGAAATGCACCCAGAGTGAACTAAAGACAAAATTTGAGAAAAAAAATTGCTGAAGGGTACCATCACATCGATAAGAGAAACGAAAGAGTAAAGAAATCAAGGCAACAAGAGGCAGAAGAAGAGAAGATGCAACTATTGTTTCCTTACAAACTAACGATAAAGAGAAATGATTCCTACATTATTCAGAAGTGTGAAGTGGACAGTGGCTCGTTGATACCTGATATGAGCGTACCTTTTTTGAAGCATATAGGGTGTCCAGTAAATGACTAGAGTTAGAAAAAATTGCATATCTCTCTGCTACGGCTCGAGCAAACAGGCTGATTTTTCTACCAATAATAGAAGCATGTTCACACTTTAAATCCATACAGACAAGATTAGAAAGAGCCTTTGTTAAGTACCACCAACGACCTCAACAAAAAAAATTTTACTTTTTCACAGATAGGAAAAGAACACTATACGGAGTAGCGCAAAAGTCACTTTGCCGCAAAAGAATTGAATATCTTCACTATGGCTCGAGCAAAAGAGCTGATTCTTTTATCAATGATAGAGGCATGTCCAAGCTTTATACTCATAAAGACATGCCTAGAGAGATCCTTTGTTAAGTCTATTGTTTTTTTTCTTATCTGTGAAAAAGTAAAATTTTTTTGTTGAGGTCGTTGGTGGTACTTAACAAAGGCTCTTTCTAATCTTGTCTGTATGGATTTAAAGTGTGAACATGCTTCTATTATTGGTAGAAAAATCAGCCTGTTTGCTCGAGCCGTAGCAGAGAGATATGCAATTTTTTCTAACTCTAGTCATTTACTGGACACCCTATAGATATGACTAACAGTTTTAATTAGTCTCAACCCAAGTAGAAAAAAAATAGAGTAGTAGTCAAATTTAAATAGATTAAAAAATTATTATCATCAAAATAACCAAAAAACCAAAACTTCTTTGATTTTTCTGATTAATTTCGATTTTAATCGATTAAAGGTTCTAGGAAAAAACCTCGATTTTAATTAGTATTTCTTCGTGATAAATGAAAAATCTTTAACCAATTTACATTAATTATAATCAATTTTTTTTCATCAAGCTTTAATAGTTTATAATCGAAATTAATTAAAATAATCAATGAAATTTTGATTGTTTTTTGGTTCATTTTTAGTTACAATGGGTCACAAAACGATTAAAAATCGATTAAAAACATATGATTTTTATCCTCATTTTTTTTTTACGTGGAAAGTCTTGAGTAATATTGAAAATTGTGTTAGATAATAACTATAATCAAACTATTTCTAAGTAAGATCCAAGATGATAACTATGAACGAAAGTTATAATAATTTCAACATTCGACCGATTTATTCTATTATGATACTTTTAATTCAAAACTGTATATGGTTCGTATCCTTTCTATCTGTTAACATAGAAAAAAATTCAATGTTGTACGGTAAAGAATACATCGTTTCATTCACAGGTAATGAGTAACTACGAGAAAACGAAACTCGCAGATGAATATATGACACAATACTTAGAGAATAATCTATAAATACTAAGTCTTTGAAGTAAAGAAGAATGAAATAGAAATATTTTAATTCATTCTATTAAAATAATTACTATTTCAACTTAATTAAATCTATTCAAAAAATTAATCGAGTTAAAATAGTGTGATAGTTATAATCCAAGTTATAAACATTTTAACTTTTTGCCGTTTTTCTCAACTATCAACTTTTTACAAAAAAACACTTTTAACTCTCACACTGATGTTTTCATAATATCATTGTCAATGAATTCGTTTATAACTTTTTTGCTAATATAAAATAACTTTGGAACGACATATAAATATACGAAGAATAAAGATACGTCATACATTTTCTTCTAAGAAAATTACGTTCAATTTATTTTTTTTTAGGAAAAACGAAACGATAGTTTCGTCGAATCGAGATTCAACTTGTTATAAAAGACCGTGTACTGTTGCTCAAGGACATTGGACATTTTTGGATCGAATTAAAAGTTTCATCAGCAAAAACATATGAACTATTGATGACGTGTATTGACTGCGATATTTGAATTCTAAAGTATTTACAGTGAATGCAATATGTTAAAAATTCAAGATTTCAACTAGATTTATTATTTTTTTCTTTTCATCATGGTTGAATAGATTTTATAAGACTTGAAGATTTCACATTCTTTTCTCGTAATATTTGAAAATAATGATATTATGAACTTTTCTCTTAAAATATTTTGTTTTTTATTTGAAACAGACTTTTTTTCTCGTATAACTTTACGAGATTTATTATTCAACCATGACAAAAATTTAAAAAAATAAATTTTGTTCAAATTTTGAATTATCGACATACTACAACTAATAAAAAATACTTTAAATTCGAATATATCAGTGCGTGCACTTCACCATTCATTCATATTTTAAATTTATTAGTTTGCTGATGAAATCTTTAGTTTGACGAGAATATATCTTTCTATTGTTACATTAGTTGATTGCATATGATATGGTATTAATCATCATTTATTTATTTTTAGACTATGCTATTGTTATTCAAAATTTATAGCCTATTTCATATGATTAATTATAGATGTGCTACGATGACATACACCGCCTTCTCAGCTCATTTTTTTTTCTAATTACAAAAAAAAAAAAAAATAAACAGATAAAATCGATTCACGTAGCTCACTCAGACATATCCGTAAATGAATCAAATGAACATAAAGATTCGATAACATGTATTCTCTTAATTACGTTTGAATTCAAGGTTTTCTAAAATTGTAATTGTCCGTAAAATTTGCAATAATTACTTTAAACGAAAGGAAATAAGTTCTTACTTTATGGAAATTCAATTATGACCTTTTTGTTTTTTTGTTATTCTTATATTCATGTGGTTTACTGTACACTTTCAATGCTTGAAAAGGGCACATTTTTCTTTATGTTACACATAGTAATATTTATAGTATCTCAATGTCACGATGCAAGGCACTCATACGTGAAGCTATATAAGCAATGCGAGGATAGCAAATCTATGTATATAGCTATTAACGTACAGGTGCACTATTTTGGTGATCAGTTTTTGCTGTATATCTGAATTAAACGTTGGTTGAAATCATACGCTATATCAATGTAATGATTTGATCTAGAGTTTTTTCTTTTATGAATATAGTTTTGTTTAGGGATCCAAGATATTATTCATTTATAGTACGTCCAACACGACGATCAGGTCATCATCATGAGAAACGATGGCTTCCTACATCACGACATCGATATCCATATTCACTAGCAGCATCTCATGTAGATATGGGTGTGAGACGCCATCGATCAGATAGATACAGTATGCTAATAACAAGAAAATACAAGTAAAACAAAAAATTATTGTTCTTTATTTTAAAGATTCACAACACGCTCATCATTCATCAAATTCAAAATTTCAAGGTGATATGTTAAAATTACATAATTATTATCGTGCACGTCATTGTGCACCACCACTTGTTTTAAGTCAACAATTAAATCAAATTGCTCAATCATATGCTGAACATTTAGCAGCTACATCAACATTCGAACATAGTGGAAATCAATTAGGAAGTGAACAATTAGGAGAAAATCTCTTTATGCAATGGATATCTTTTGGCCGACCAACAGCTTCTGGAAGAGAAGCAATGCAAAGTTGGTACAATGAAATAGGAATGTATGATTTTGACAAACCAAAATATTCAAAAGAAACTGGTCATTTTACACAAATGGTATGGAGATCATCGAGAAAATTAGGCGTTGGAATAGCTTATTCACCTAAGGGAAATGAAGTTTATATTGTAGCTAATTATTATCCAGCTGGAAATACAATTAATCCAGGTTATTTTGAAAATAATGTTTTACCACCGAATTGTTAAATAAATCGGTGTTTTTTCTTTTTTTTTAAAATAGAAAAATACATTTATAGAAAATAAAATTTAAAATAAATATCAATAAGTTGCAAGAAATATCAACAAATAAAATAATTAACAAAATACTTATTTATTTTTTTTGTTTTTTGACTTTTCTAATGCTAAAACCATATGATGACAGAGTTATTGTGATAATGAAAACTCTCTCTCTGTTTTTACGAATTTTCTATCAGAGACTGGGATCATCGAAACCAGAGTTTTGATTTTACACAAGTTTTCATCTTTCGAATGTGAGTTATTCAGTTAAAAGTGTTATAAATATACTCTTATGCTTGCAAAAGCTTTTTTTGTTGTACAAATTTTTTTTTTAATGCCACTGGAAAGAAAACAATAATTCTACTGAAAGAGCTTGCCATGTCATTGTTTGTTGTCTGTTTTTCCTTGGTATACTGTCGTCCATAGTGTTTGTTTTTATTTCTTTGATCCTTGGTTGATTTTTCAGTTATTGTAACTGAGATGCATGACGTACTCATTAATGAGGCACACACACTCCATATATTCTACTAGGCATAAAACTTAAAAAGAAGGCATTTTTTTTGTCATTATTTTTATATAAATATCCTTATATCGCATTCATATCGCTCGTAAATGTTGTTCATTCATAAGTCTCTGTTTTAATATATCATCATTAGATTTAAAATGCAATAGAGATCAAGTGTATTAAATAGATTTCTCTGACAACTTCTATACTATATTTATCGAATTAGGATCATGTCTTAAAATTAATAAAAGAGATTGTATTTATTATGTTGACAAAAAAAACAGATCAAGATGATAATCTTTCTATATGGTGAAAATCGTGGTGATTTCAGCAATCATCAAACAAGTCAGTGTAAAGTTATGATTACTCGTATTTTGTGAAAAAATACGAGTTTAAATTAGGTTTTATTGTGATTATGGCACAAGACACGAGTTTTTGGGAATTGGAAATAAATCGAATTTAATTACTGATTGTAAATCATCAATTAATTAGAAAAATATTCTAAGTCTGTTAAATGGAGGGTCAAAGATAATTTCTACACTTTGAAAACGAATATGTATAGAGTGACTTCAGAAAAAACCCAATTGAAAAAATCAATTTGAATATATGAACGTTGTTTTTATTCAAATTTTATTACATGTTTTATTCATGTAGAATAAAGTAAGCAGGTAATTTCTAAATCACAATATGCATCATCATAAATTAGTACAAGAGAAGCATCTCAGTGTAACAATAGAAATGTAGGTAGACATGAACAAACTGACTTCTATGATCGATATAATGAAGAATGATAATCGATTATAAAACCACAATGTACCCTGAAAGTTGTCCAAGTCATCAAACAAAAAAAGTTCGTCGAATTACGGCGTTTCAATTGACGATTTTTGTGTCGACATATCACGACTAATTGTCAATGTTTTAGTGATTTCGAGGACATAGGTTGAACAATACTTTTTTCTTATGTAACTTGACAAGCCTTATTCAACAATGGTGAACAGAGAGAAATAAATCTTGCTCAAACTTTGAATCATTAGCAAACCACAATCAATGCAAATATTTTAAATTCGAAAATCTCAGTCGGTACACGTCAATAGTAATTGGTATGTTAAAGAACCTTGCACAAAAAGATATATACAGCATGAAGGATCATGTTATTCTGCGCCCAGCGATGTAGTGAATTTGATTTTAATTTATGATAGAAAGTTGATACGGTTCAATGGTTTGTGGATCTAGGAAAATGCATATTTACGAATTGCAATGAGCGATTTTTTTTCTATCCATACACATTTTTGATATTGAATGCTATGGTTCGATGTGCTTTTGTTCGCTCTACAAAACTCTTACAGACATTTAGTAAATTCTCTTTCGCTACTAAGAAATATATGACTTAGAATGTGGTAGAAATCACATCGATGCAACTGACTCTTGATAGTACAACCGATTTTACTCTACAACAAAAAGAAATATTCACGAAACTTTCTCTAAAATCTTTCGCAGATTATCCAAATGTGGAATTCTTTGTATTTGTTTGGTAAAACATTTTCTTTTTTTGGTTCATTTCAGGATCTTGTTCTACGATTTGTGCAAAAACCAATGCTTGAAAAGACATTTTAATAATAAAATTGAGTTCAGCATGAAAAACTAAGTCGAATGCTATATGTTTTGGTAAAACAGTTTTTTCAAGCAAAGACCACTTTACTCGTCTCAATATTTTTTTTCAAAATCTTTTCTCCTGATCTCCTGCAAGTGTCTTTTCATGGTAAAATATTTTTCGTCGAAATATATGCCATTCGATTCAGCTTTCGATGTAGAACTCGATTTTCATGTGGAAATGTCTTTGCAAACATTGGTTTTTTCGTAAATGGTCGAGGACGAGTCTGAAATCAACCGAAACGAGGATGTTTCCCAAAATAACTGCAAGAAAATTCTATATTTGAATAGTTTTCAAAATTTTTAGAATAAGTAAGTTTTGTAGATGAAGAAATGCCGCAGATTCCTAAAAAGTTACATAAATATTTTAACTTTTTATTGTAGAGAAAAAGCAGTCACACTATCAAGAGCTAGTTAAACCAGTATCGTGTCCACCACATGCTACGTCATATATTTTTTAGTGAAGAGAGAGAATTCACCATATGTCTATATGAGTTTTGTAGAGTGAACAAAAGTACATCGAACCATAACATTCAATAGCAAAAATGTTCACTGATAGAAAGAATCACTCGTTTCAATTCTTAAAAAACCCATTAGCCACGGATGTACAAGTCGATGATCCATATCATCTTTGTATCATTAATAAAAATTAAATGCACCAATCTTCTAAATGCAGAACAACATGACCTTTCATGATGTATATATATATTAAAAAGCTTATACGGTGGTTAGCAGTTTTCCATATTATCGTGCGAAGTCGTTTATTAGTTTTTCGATAAGAATTTTAGTTTGATCGGAATATATTCAATGATCTTGAGTTACCATACACATCCTTCTACTGCTACATAAATTTATTGAACATGACATTGCATCATTCATCATTTATTTTTCTTTACACTATGTGATGGCCATTCAAAGATTATTATCTATCTAATGGAATTAATAATGTACGTGCTACGATATACACTATCTCGTCAGTTCATTTTTTTTTCTAATTGCAATGTACATATACTGAATCTAGTATATCCGTAGACGAATGAAATTAATATAAAAATCTGATAACATGTATTCTTCTAATTACGTTCGAATTCAAGCTATTCTAAATTGTAATCATTTCTTACAACTCGAAATTATCATGTTAAACAATAGAAAATAAGTTATTGCTTTATAAAGATACAATTATGACATTTGTTTTTTTTTCTCTTTTGTTATTAGTTATATATATTAATATGGTTTTCTACATACTTTGAATATTTTCAAAAGTACACTGTTTTGTTGGTATGAGTCATAGTCATGTTTATATTATGTATTAATGTCATGAGTCGAAGCACTCACGCGTGAAATTATATAAGCGACTCAAGAATCACAAATCTACATAAACATCTATTAACATACAGGTGTATTATTCTCATAGATTATTTTTATTGTATATCTTAATTAAACATTGGTTTGAAAAAATATACTATATCAATGTAATTATTCAATCTAGAGTTTTTTCTTTTATAAATAGAACTTTGTTTACAGATTCAAGATTTTATTAATATACGGTATTTCCAACACAATAATCACATCACCATCATCATGATAGATGGTTAATTCTTAAATCTCGACATCGACATCAACAGCCACAAATGTATTATGTAGATACGGATGCGGAAGACACTCTAGGACTCACACATCATTGTATGTTAATAAGAACATAAACATAAAAGCAAATATTGTTTCTTTTCTAAAGATAGGGGTCTTCGTCATCGTTTATGGCATTCAAGATTTGCTCGTGATATGCTAAAATTACATAATTATGTTCGTGCATATCATAGTGCACCACCACTTGTTAAAAGTCGACGATTAAATAAAATTGCTCAATCATATGCTGAATATTTAGCAGCTACATCAACATTTCAACATAGTGGAAATCAACTTGGCGATGAATCTTTAGGAGAAAATCTGTATATGGTATGGATATCTGATGGTCAAGTACAAACTTCTCCAGAGGAAGCAGTAGAAAGTTGGTATCAGGAAATAGCAATGCATGATTTTGACAGACCAACATATTCACCTGAAACTGGTCATTTTACACAATTAGTATGGGGATCAACGAGAAAACTAGGCGTTGGAATAGCTTATTCACCTAATGGAAATGAAGTTTATATTGTAGCTAATTATTATCCAGCTGGAAATATTGTTAATCCAGGATATTTCGAAAGTAATGTTTTACCACTAATTTATTAAGTGAATAGAATTTTTTTTCTTTTCTCAAAATAAAAACATACATTTATAGAAGATAAAATTTAAAATAAATGTTAATAAGTTGCAAGAAACATTAACAAATAAAAAAAACTAACGAAATAAATACTTGTCGTTTGAAAAAGTGCTTTAACATTGAACATGTTATTAAATTTTTGTGAAAAGAACACTGATGGAATGAGTACAAACACTCGAAGAATAAATTGAATATTATGATGAATTTATGTTTGATTCATTAAATATGTTGAAAAAAAAACTCAAGTCGAACAAGCAGTACATAAAGACTGAGTTTTTCATAGTATTCACATAGAATTCAATGTAGTCATCGAAATCTTTATCAGCATGGAAGTGACAGAAGAACTTACACTTCGTTTTGGATACATAGAAGCATATGATATATGGGATTCGTTCATGTATGTTTATTCTTTTTTAACATTGAAACGATGTTATGAGAGAATGATTGTAATAGTGAAAACTATGATTTTGTACGAACTTTTCATCAGAGATCGAAATCAGAAAGTTTCTGATTTCGCAAATTTCGAACTATTACCTTATTAAACAGCTTTCATCCTCATACAAATTTTTATCTATCGAATACAAGTCATACAATTGAAATAATTATGTATAAGTATACCCTTATGCTTGCAAAAACATTTTTGTTACGTAAAGTTTCTTCTTTTTAAATACTATGGAAAAGAAAATGATAATTGCACTGAAATACCTTGCCATGCAGTTATTTTTTTGGCCTCTATTTTTCTTGATATTATCGTCTATATTGTTGATTTTTGTATTCATTCATCTGTTGATTTGTCAATTACACAACTATAATAAATGACATGCTCACTAACAAGATAGATACACTCTATATTGTCTACTAGAAATGAAACGTAAAACGTGGCACGCTTTTCTTGTCATTTTCATATAAATATCCTTATATAACATACATATCTCTCGTTAATGACGTTTATTAACAAAATCTTTTTTTTTGAGATGTCATCATCAAATTCAGAATGTAATAATGATCAAGTTTATTGAATAGATTTCTTTTATATATTCGATAGCATAATTTATCGAATTAGGATCATGTCTTATAATAAATAAAAGACATCGTATTTGCTATGTGAACAGAAACAGATGAAGATGGTGATCTTCGCTTATGTTCAATCAGACATAAACAAGATGATATTAATTCAGAAACTGAATTCTAGTAAATTTAATCTTTTTTTTTTAATCTAAAATCTTTAGTTACAAACGTTCATATAGTTTTAGAGTTTTTTTACATGAATAGATTCATCAAAAATACCTTAAATCAAGGAACATGTACAAGTCAATGTATCATTTAGTAATTCATCGCATCAAACATATGTCAGCATAAGTTGTCGTGTTGAACTTGTTCAAGATAAAGCCAAAGCATTATGAAATTCGTATTCGAAAGCTTGGTTACTTTCCGTAGAGATATTATTTTGATTTATTGGTTTTATTTTCTATTAGAGATCTCAACAAGAACATGGTGACCATCATTTGAATTTATTCAAAGTAATTATTTAAGGAACTGAACATTGATATGCAGCATTTTTATTTATAATTTAAGTTGTCGGTTATGTTAAAGTTGCAATGGATAATTTATTAACATTGGAAGATGACATTTTAAAAAAAGGTAATTCTCCATGGGTTGTATAATGGACTAACCTTTCAGTTGTTTAAATGTGATTTACACTTTTTGAAATAAAAAAAAAAAGTAAAAGAAAGACGAAATCTTCTTTTAACAAATCTATAGTCTAGTTCAATATTGATAATTATTTATGATTCTTACTCTCTTATTAATCTCCCGTATTCGGTAAAAACGATTTCAATAGCATAAGTTACAACGTAGTACGTATAACTATCCAAGAGATCATTTAATAAGTGTTAGTAGCACTATTCATGGGCATGAATATTTTTGATCACCAAAAAAAGTTGAAATTGATCACCATTTTTTTTTGTTGCGAAATGATCACCAAAATAAGATACAAATGATCACCATTCTTTTTTGTTGTGAAATGATCACCAAAAAAAGAGACATTTGATCACCAAATTTATTATGAAGAAGTAAATAGAAAATATTTCTGGTTTATCTTTTCTTCGTTCATATGTAATCAAATTGTGTAATTTAATTTCACCAACTGATGCTTGAGGATAATTAATGACCAGCGTTTTTTTAATTTGAGTTTCTGTTAATCCGCATTTGACGTGATTAGACACACATTGACGTACTGATGATGGTAACCTCGTCGTTGGATTTCCTTCATTTTCTTCATGTTGATGTGTATTTCTTGACATTATTTTAATTGATTCCATATTGTTGTCAGCCACAATAACTTTTATTTCAAATGAGCATAATGGATATTTTCTGTATTTGCTACATTTGAATGAGTATTTGATTTCGTTTTTTCAATCTGATAGTCGGTATTGACAAACATTGTACTTTTCTGTAACGAATTCTTTTGTTTCTTCATATGATTTAGCAATGTGTAGCAATTTCCATTCATTATTAGACATTTTTATGGAATAATTTCTCATGGCAAAATATTCTTTTTAAACTATTCTTATTAATTGGATCATTTCAACAAAATGAGTTTAGCTCAATCAGAGTTAACTCTGTTATATTAATCAATTAAAGTTCACGATAAACATTTGATTTATCAAAACTATGTTAACTATATCTCATAAAAGTAATATATTATCGAACATTACAAGTTAATTAACTTGGTGATCAAATGTCTCTTTTTTTGGTGATCATTTCACAACAAAAAAAATGGTGATCAATTTCAACTTTTTTTGGTGATCAAAAGTATATTTCTCGTTTTAAAATTGATGTATATAATATATTACCAGCACTTGTTTACTTTATCGGTGAGATGCATCCATCAAGATTATTGAAAACTAATATTAGTTATCTCAAAAATTTCTTTGAAAAGATAATCAAATTTTCCATTATAGATAAATTGTTATTTTGGTTAAATTAAAACGCATGGTATTGTACTTCTCTTGTTTTTATACGACTGACGATTAGAATGATCTTATTTATTTAATAAATATCAATAAAATTGAAATAGGTTCTCAAAATATCTCATTTTGTAACAGACAAATAGAAACAAAACAATATTAAATCATTTACAATAATATCTCTTTTTATAAATAAATCAACAGAACATTTATAAATTGTTTCTTTCGCAATAAAGCAAAAGTTTTTTTTTCCCAAATACTTGTTTCTTCAACATCCTAGATCTGTTCATTACGAATTATGAAATCAATATGAAATTCATATTGAGTGTATGAAAAAAAATTAATCATAAGATGACTAAATAATTTTGAAACAATTTTTTAAATAATTTTATAATGACTACTACTGTAATCATAAGTCGAGTATTCACATTTTTACTCATGAAATAATAGTTGATAAATGGAATAATTTTCACATCTAATATTTTCCAAGTAATTTACTTTCATTTTACTATGATCATTTATTCAGTCTTTTGTACATAAACATTACAAAATCAATATTTGTTGTATTCAAACAAATATCTAAGCATACACAAAATAGTTGTTTTGTTTTCATTGAAATCAAAACAGATAATTATACATTTGTTCCAACAAGTATTCGATTTACATAGTTTACTATCGGATTTATAGTTGGTCTCATTGAACCTAAATAGTTCTTGTCTTATGGCCCGTGAAAAAGTTATTTATGAAACTATCAAATACGATTAAGGAGGAGTATAAATGTGAGTGAACTGAAGATTCACATCTACATTCTCAATATCTGTTTAAAGAATGATCTGATAAATACGCGTTTATCTTTTCAAACAAAAAAAAAACAAACAAGAACACTAATTGTATATGAAAAAATAAATACATCTAAATGCTAGACTTCATCGACTGAATGAGAATTCAGTAAATCGATATAATACAATTAGAAGACTGTTCAACATTTATTTAGTTGAATAAAATTTTTAAATTCTTTAATATACAACTTCAATGGCAGGATTTTTTCAAATATAGAAAGTTATTATAGTTGTTTAACTAGCTGTGTCAATGGTAGTAATATATGAAAGGATTAAATAAAAGGACTTGTAATGGTAATAAATAATTTTCGAGATAACAACTTCGATCAAGTATATACAGGTGTAACTGGCTGTAAACAAAACAATTTCTATTGATAAGAAGCTGAATAAATTTATACTCACCGTACAAAACAAGAGAAAACTCTATGATCAAAACAGAAAGAAGTTTTCAAGTATGTTAAATATATATATCTGCTTTTACAGAAAGCAAAAATCGATTTCTTGAATATGTAATTTTTTACAAGTTACCTTTCCCTTACAAACATTAACTACAATCATTCATCCAGAATATTGGTGTGAGTGCATATGTATGTGAATGTTAATTGAGATCCGGTTGTAAGTTTGGATGAAGATGTAAATTTAAAGGTACATACCTACATCTATATAAGCGCCCACACACTCTCGGAAACAGTAAGCAATGACTATATAACAGTGTATTACTGCATTGAATTTCACGGTATTTCTCTTTAATCCGTCATTCCAGTTTCTTTTCGCTAAAAACACTCATTGCTCTCATCTCACACTATTTCTATCATTTTCTGGATTGACAGATTATGATAGCTGAATGGCACTATTTTCAGTTTTATATCGTTTACGAACCTGCTCTCTTAGATTTGTGACATCAAAAACAAATTGACTTGAAAAATGATATACAGAAAAATTCAAGTGTTTCATAATGCACTATGCAAGAAATCAATAGAGATAATAGTTATGGCGACTCAAACAGCAAAATATCCCAGTGAATTAGATAATGCATTATTTTACGAATAATGAGGTAACATTCATTACTTCATATGAATGATGCATGGTATGATACAAGAGAAAAAAAAACAAAATGATATAACGATCATTGTAGCATTACCCATGGATAAGATAGTTATA